CCCCAAAACCCCAAAACCCCAAAACCCCAAAACCCCTCAAGAATATAAATTAATTGAAGAAAATGAAGAAGAATTTCGATACAAGTTCCTTTGCTTCTACCATAACCTTGCTTTCTAAGAAGCCTAAAGCTTCAAACTCAAAGATCAGAATAAGCAGGAACAGACCCAAGATCGGCGCGCCTGAGAACAATAGATACACCGCCAGTCTGACTGGTCTTTCTGGATTCTACGATTACAGCATCAAATCAAGCAAGAGTAAGGATCTCAATACCTACTCTGGCCGGAACATCCGCCAAGAAGCGACCAAACAAATCGCTAAAAGCCTTCTCCTAGAAAAGAAAATGGAACAAGAAAGAGCTAAAGCTAGCTCTCAGGAGCGAGAAACCCAAATGTTACTTGATTACTACAATAACAGACAATTTATAGATAAAGAAGTTAAGGAAAATAATCAAGATTATTTCAAATATAATTCTGATAACCTTAATCTTAACAAAGTCAAAAATCTCAGTAATTCTGTGAGCAATCTAAATCCAATGAACTTGTCAGATGAAAAGACCCTCTGCTCAGCTATGAACATTGTTGACAGAAATCTTTCTAACAAGAAACTTGCCGATGCTAAAGAATGATACTCCCAATTGAGTAAACCCCAGAGTGAAGGAAAGAACACACTAGAGAATAAATATGTAGAGAAAGCAAAAGAGGACTCTAAGCAGTATTTGAACATCTCAGGGTCTGTAGACCCAAATACCTTCAAAGAGTCAGTTAATTTTGACTGTGGCAGAGAATCAAATACTAACACTGGGCAAAGATCTGAAATGGATATCATCAGGAAAGAATCTATTCCTAACCTCTCAAAGCCACAAAGGAATATCCTCAACTCTATAAAGAAGATTAACAGAAATATGGATAAACTACATGCACATGAGAATGTAAATTGGAGTATTGCAGATATGCCATCTAATTATACTACGAGTCTTCCCAGAGCCACAAATCTAAACTACAAAACCACAGATTACTCAAATACTAAATCAAAGCTCTTTGTCCAAAAATCAACTAACTTAGGACTGAATGATTCGATCAGGGCTAAAAAGCTAAGGCAGATTAAAAATAAGCTGCACAAGCACAGATTGTCTGTAACTGTAAATCAGAATAACTCTGCAGAGAGGCATCGAAACAGGCCGCTCTACAATTTACTTTCAGAATCCATCAAAACTGATAACGAAGGCCAAAAGATGAGTTATTATGCCAATCTTGAGAATGGCAAATAAGTCTCACGATGTGGTAAGTAACTGTCTAGTTATCATAGATCAAAGACGATACAAGAATCAGGCCTTCAAGAAACCTTGAGAGCGTAAAAGAATATTCCGTTAGTACAGATTCTGGTATTTTCAAGCCATTTCTACAAAAATCCTACTCTGATCTCAAAAATAAGCTGATAAAGAGTGCAAGAAAGAGTAAAAATAACCCAAAGACAGATGTTTATCGAAACACAAGTTTTGAAAACTATCCTAGCAAACCCTTCTTGAGTGATATTGGTCGTGAGGACAAAATCAAGAGATCATTCGCAAAGATTAATAGCATCAGTGCTTATGCAAACAAATCTAATGGCTATACTTCAAATCTTAGCCCTGACTTCCAGAGGAACTATAAGAAGGATCCAAATATATTCAGAAAAGGCAAAGGAATAATGGCTCAATTTGCAGACCATGGTGCTAAACATTCATTCATATGATCTCCTTTTGGTCGAAGATAAGAGAATGAACAACCAAAAGATAGAATTCCTAAGAAATAAGTCCTAATCTCTGATAATTATCCTTGTGTAAAGGTTCATTCAGAAGACTGTTTCCAAATTTATAAACCAATTTTCTTCTTTGTTTGCTTGCATAAATAAGAGTAAATTTAGTGAATAAATTTTGCTTAACAATCCCAGGTTCTTTTCTTAGACTTCTAAATTTGAAGAAAATGTACACTCTTATTATTCAATCATTTCAAGCAAAAAAAGTTAGAACAACTAACTAACATAATTTTAAACATAAAAATCATACTATCTTACATAAAAGCCAAATTTACAATCCCATACTCCAAATTTCAAAAAAAACTCATTAAAAATCCTCCAAAACACCATAGCCCAAACCCTTCCTTTACTTATCTTACCTAGATCATTTCTCAAAAATTCGCCCATTAACCATTCCAAATTGCCTTTCAATCCTCACCCAGCCCCTAGGGGTTTTGGGGTTTTGGGGTTTTGGGGTTTTGGGGTTTTGGGG